CCTAGGCTAACAGTTACACATCTGCTCACGTTTGTTGGATTGTAATTTTTTTTAGGAGAACTGCTGTGAGATGCGGATCAGCCTGAACCAGAAGCCAAACAGCAGCAAAGACTTTGGCTTCGTGGCAGCCTGGGACTCGACTGGAGCTCAAGTCACATCTGTACAGCCAGGTATCAGCCAAGACTGTGTGGAAAGATTCTGTTGCCTATTTGCCTTTAAATAATAAAATGAAATAATAATGTTAAACGTCTTTTGATGTTACATACAGTGCCAAGAGTGAAACTACAGAGTTTTCTACCCAGGCTGTGCTGGGCGGCTGGTGGCTCTGTCAGAGTTAAATAGGGCAGCATCTATGTGGGTCAGATCTGCAGAGCCTGAGCCTCCTTTATAACAGTGGATTCATAGCCCCACTTTGTAGCTTTTTATACAACCCTCATCATACATCATCACATGTTTTAATTCTTCAGGTTTGTCACATTTTATATTGTCTTCAGGAGGTCCTTAATCTAAATTACCTGGGGTCAGATTAGGATTCTGTCTGGACCGAGGGGCTGGGCCACAAAACTGACGCATTAAAAAAAAACTCACATAAAACTCTTAACTTGTTGGAAGTGTCTTATATAATTTTATTTTCTTTCAACCTTGCCTTTTGTCATAATCAACTCAACTCCAAGAGACGGAAAAAATATGTCACAATGTGGAGAGTGCTGAAGGACAACTTTTTCTAGGGACAGTGAAGGCATCCTTGGCTAAATTACTTATCCCCTAGTTAGTTTATATGCATTTTTAGCTTTTTTCAATGATTTTTGTGATATTTTTTCAAAGGAGTTGTTTTTATAATTTTGTATCATATTTAAACACTGTTTAAAATGTCTCATTCCTTCCTGTCTTTGTTCCTGGTTTTTACAGGCAGTCAGGCTGCCATGTGCCAGCTCCAGGTTGGTGATGAGGTTTTGTCAGTGAACAAACAGCAGGTGGCAGACATGAGCTACACAGACTGGAAGAACTGCATGGAGGCAGCTCTGCAGGAGGGCAGTCTGGTCATGGACATCCTCCACCATGGCCCAAACAGTGAGTCTTAGTGTGTGATTGAGTGTGAGGGTCTTTGAGGGTTTTACATGCCTGGACTGACACTGCTGCTTAAGCTGCTTGTGTCTCTAAACAGTTTTGACACTTTAAATTGGTCCGTAAACAGAGTGAGCTCAGCCATGAATGATTTCATGATGAGGAAATTCATTTTTCTCCCCTTTGAAGAGGGGATTTTGTTATCGTTCTGTTCTCTGAGGCTGCTGTTTGTACTTCTGCTCTGTTGTTTCTCTTTTTATACACTGTCTTCTCATGTGGTGTTCTGTTTTTTTCTGTGTGGAGAACTAACCTAGCTAAGATTGGTCAGGTCTGAGGGTTCTGTGAATGTTCAGGTTTCCACAGTGTTGATATAACAGGCTTACCTTCACCAGTGCCTGTAATGAAGTCGCTCACCTGCACTAACATACAGCACAGAACGGTCCCAGTGGGCTTTGTGAGCCTGTTAGAAACACTGTGTGTGTGTGTCTGTGTGTGTGTGTGTGTGTATATATATATTATTTATTTGTGTGTCTGTGTTGTGTGAGGGTGTTCATGAAGGAATAAATATGCTGCATGGCTGGGGAAGGTGGGTTCTCTGTCACCCCCTGCTGCTCCCTTAACAGCACCATAACAACATTGTCCCCTGCTTTGTAGTGGGCTGTAAGAAAATGGTTGTTTTTTGGATAAATGTTGGGTTAACACTCAAGGGGTTTTGTATTCACCTGAGAAAAAATTGTGGTCTTTAAAAAAAATTCTGATCTCGGTTTTTATGTTGAAACGAGTCCTCTTAATTGAAATTAAATAAAAATATCAAATAAAGATTAATCCTGGAATAAGGATTTCTTTCTTTCTATTTAATAAAAAATAATTATTATTTAAATAAATTATAATAATTTTTTATTTGATTCATTAATTTTTTTCATGATAAACTAGGGATGCTACCTTCAGTTTCTTTGAATTAAATTAAATTAAATGGTTTTCCTGTATCACTTCTTATAAAAAAAGTACTGTTTTTATTCAGATCATTCCAGTCTTTTTAATGACAACTCGTTTTTTATTATTTAAAAACATAATTATCTGAAACAGCCTAGATAATTTTGTTCTTTGTGGAATATTTCTCCTGATTGTCACTAGATCTTAGAGATTTTTCAATTTTTGTAAATAATAATTAAAATCAATAATTCATTTTTCCATTATTTTTCCATCCATTTTCCTTAATAAACTGAAAGTCATGATTAAACATTTGAATACATCATCTATATATTTTTCTTTTAATGATGGGAGCGATATTTTTCTATCGCTCCCGTCATTATATTTTTTGTCCGGTGAATGCAACTCACTTGTGTGGTTTGACATATACACCAACACAATAACAAACACACACATGCACTAAACCATGTGGTGTGACTTTCTATTATTCTGCCCTTGGATTGTCTGCGCGCAGACTGGGACAAAGCTCTACCTTCCCCACCATTTAAAAGCCATAAGACCATCAATCTGACCAGTATGGATCATCCAATACTTCTAGGTTCCCCTGAAATCCTCACCACAAAGCCCAGTCTGGATTTTACCTCACGGATTTCCACAGAAACTCTGCAGCCCAAAGAGCTCTCTGCTAAGCCAGCAGTGGTGAGTGGATGACAGTCACTCAGGTGGACTCAGGTTTGATCCACACATTGTTCCTTGTGCTGTACTTTTTAATGAGCACATACTCTGCTGTGTCTCTATGCAGGACTTGGCATCAAATGGAGTCAATGCAAATTTCTATGAGCAGTCGGTCACCATGAGGAACAAAGGTAAAGAGCAGAGGACACACTCAGAGCGCTGATGAAATAGAACTGTACTGACGATTAAACACAAACATATGTCGAAAGTTAAGACTGATGTTTACCGAACACAATAATTACAGAACATAAGACACACAAATATTGAAGACAGTTTACCAAAAACACAAGTCAACTATACAATAACCAAAATGTGGCCCAGTGTTAGCTAGGCTACATGAAGGCCGCTAACATTTATACATAACATATATTAGCAGAAAATGTAATGACTTTATTATCACTCAACATTTTTTCACTCAAGTCTGGCAATAGCTTCACTTTGGCAAGATCTGCAAAAATGTTTTAAAGAAATTAATAATAAAATAAATGAGATAGTTAAAAGTTTATTTTATATTAGACTTTTATATTAGAATGTGTTGTAAAAATAAAAAAGTTGAACCAATGAAAAGGTTAGGTGTAAGCCAAAGTATAATTGCAACATTGGAAAAGAAATGTCCAGTCTATTATTCAAAAGGACCCTGAGTAACGCTTCAAGTTAAATGAGTTAATAATGAGACTTACTGTCCACAGCAGACCAGTATAAGGACTGTGATATTTCAGGAACATTAAATATAATCCATGTTTAAATGATATGAGACCTTCTCCCTGGGCCAAAACATGTTTCTTTCTCTTCTGATGTACCTGTGTCTGTTTCCTGTTTTCCACTTCTCATGTAGAGTCAGAACCCATATCTTTGAAAAACTTAAAACGGAGGTCAGAGTTTTTTGAACAAGGTAATAAAAAATATGAAAAAGTGAGAAAATCTAATTAAATGTGCCTTCCGTGCAGCTGGTCTCTCTGTGCTTTTATATGTCACCGTCTTTTCTGTGGAATTTTTTGCATGCAGTCAGTTTCATTTTGACAGACTTGACACTCACTCAGAAACATGTGAGGACTGACGTCTTCACGGAGAGATTTGTATTCCTCTTTCACGCCCTAACTCTTCTGCGGTGTCTCTTTCTCCTTCAGGCGGCTCGGAGTCCAGTGTCAGTGCGCTGGTCTTCCTCTGTGGTAAACAAGGTTGAATGTGCAGTGGAAAAACTCACCCTTACTTGGTACAGTGCCACTCTGACATTCTGCTCAAGTTTAAAAAAACATGTTAAGAGCTTAAATACCATGTGAGAACAGATTCCACTGGAAATATTGGGCACGATGTCAGACCTAGCACCAGCGTACCAACCACACACACAGGTCTAAAAGTCCTGTTGTGTTTGTGGGTGTTTGGAATGTCGTAAAGACAGTGATGTAGTTCTCAGGTCTACAACTTGACCTGACTTGGACTCGAGGAGTGACGACTTGACTGTAGGTCAAACACATGGTTGTCTACATCAGTGCTTCCCAATATTTTTGAACCACGGCACATATTCGCAAGTACATGTAATGTAATACAGTGATCTACTACATTCTATATGCTCACAATTTACTTACTCAGTATTTAACCTGAGCCGGTTTAGTTAAAAATGAAACACATACAAATATCTTTTACAGCTGAGTCTCTTTTTTATTTTTATAGCCATCTGGCACCACCAAGTGAAATACCTAAATCAAAATAATGGTGAATAATAGTAAATGAATAATAGTTTTCAAACCAATTAAGAAAAATGTGAATATTTTCCACAGCACATTTGATGATATCTCACAGTAGGCTGTGGTTGGGAATCACTGGTCCAGACTAAACCCTGACATGATTTGATGCCCAGGACAAACTGACCTTGGTCTCAAATCATTTTGTTCTCTTTATCTTTTTTCATAAACCTGGACTCTTGACTTAATATAAAAAGGATTTTTTCTCCACTGACTTGGACTCTGATGTAAAGACACCTTGATGACTTGGTTCTAATTTTTCCTTGGTGTCTTGAAACCCATACTCAGCTTCAACACTTTATTCAGTCGTATTACACTGCAGCCGTTTTCACACAGCTCTGCATGGATTTAACTTTTACTGCATAAACCCAGCCAGCATTTGTTCCTGGGACTCGCCTGAATGGAATCTGATTGGAAAAGTGGGACCCATTTGGTTTGTCCACATAATTTCAGTGACCCCAATACAAATTACTCAGATGAAAGTGCAACTCATGAATAAATATGACCCGTGCTTTTAAAGCTCAATCAATCTCCAGGCCCGTCATGTTGGCTGGACCCACACTGCAGTATCTGTTACAGTAAACAGAAAGACTGACTCCACAGCACCTTTGTGTCTTTTGTGCATGTTGTTGTTGCTGCTGGTGTTACTGCTAATGTGTGTGCATGTCTAAATGATTTCTCAGTGTTTATCTTTGCAATCAGTTTGCTGATTTTAACCTTCAGACCTGTTACTGTGGCATCCAATGCAAATGTCAACTGTGGGCCTGATGTGACCTTTCCTGCTTGAAGCTTGTTGGGAAACATAAATACTTTACTTCTAAATGTCATTTTCATTGATGTGAAGATGCTCGACTTCAAAATAAAACTGCAGTTTAATTACAGCACTTGGCCTTAATGTGAACATAAGTGTTGACTTTAGATGTTCTTTTCTTTAAGGAGGACCAGAGACAACAGTGCCAGATGTGAGTAGTTTGAGACTTCAAGGAATTTAAGACTTTTTAGTTACGTACATACTCCATGACTGCAGGAGGATTTTATTTAGTTTTGACACAATAAGAGAATTGGAGGATATTATATCACAATATAATATATATCACAAGATAGAACGTGTCAAAGTTAGCGGTATTAGGAACTTCTATATAAATACCCAGTGTTAAATCCATTTAACACTTCTGGAGTGGCAGAGGAGTACTTGGAGGTGGAGATGATATTTTTATTTCAACTTACTGAAAATCTTCTGACTCAGGATTTACTTTGGCCTGTTTAGTTGAAAACAACGCTGACGTACTTCTTCAACAGATTTGAGTCTCTCAGATATGTCAGGTCAATGAAACAGTTTGAGGAAGCAAGGAGTGGTAGAGAAGTACTTGATGCTGTTACACTATTTTTAAAGCACATTTCTAGCATTTGTGGCCATTTTCTCCTCAGATCCCTGTTCCTTCACTCACTCACTCCTCCAGCCGCTGGTCCTGGGACCCAGAGGAGGAACGCAAGAGACAAGAAAAATGGCAGAAAGAACAGGAACGCGTTCTACAGGTATATAAAAGCTATTTTCAATTGGCAGATAAGTTTGCAACAGTATTTGTCTCTGACTGTATGTCCAATTAAATGTCAGCTCCATTTATAAAAGACCAAACACTAATGAGTCGCCCTCATATATTCACTTGCATGCATCGACAGAGCACTGTATAACTCCTAACCTTCAACCATATCTGAAAACCTTGATCTGGTCTCAGTCTACTGAACGTGTGGAGCAGAACCATATTTTTTCCTAAAGGGTCTTTTTCTAGACGGAGTTAAGAGATGTGCATGCAGAGAACAAAGGTAGACTGGAAGCTGTGCTGCTCCACTGCAGATACTTCTGTCTCTGTGGCTTCCAAGAAGGTTGACACTCAGGTGGATTAAAAATAAGATATAAGTGAAATTATACTTTTTTTATGCGGTTACACTGCTATAGAGCAGTTCATTCTGGTATGGACAGTACAATCTTTTACTTTTCTCAAGACTTAAACCTACATTCATCCACATTGTAGAAGCTCATTACATGCCATCAAAAATTCTATTTACTGGGAAATATTACAATATAGTTTCTTATCCTGTGTATTACTTTTATTATTAATATTATGACACTATTATTATGATTCTGACTTTATTTTGAAAAAATCTGCAATCCATGTTGAATCTCTCAAAGGTCATTTATGGGGAATATTGCAGAAAACATCAGGTCTGAACTCTCTTTATCTCCTTTCTTGTTATTTCCATCTAAGGAGAAATATAAGCGTGATCAGGAGAAACTGCAGGAGGAGTGGCAGAAGGCCCAGGAGGAGATTTCAAAAAGTGAAGACCACCAAGAGTTCACAAGGGTATGCTTCCTCTTATACTAATTATAATTCAGTTTAAATGTTCACGTCTGTAAGGTGGCAGTGTCATGCATTGGGGCTGTTTTTCTTCACCTTTAACTTTTGTGTTTGAATTTATCATAACATAATATTTTACTGGTTGTTTTTTGTGAATTTCTATTGTATTTTAAGGAAAAATATAAAAGTAGGTAAATACACATTTTACAAAAACAGAGTTAAGGTAAAGTATATATTCACATACATACATATATACACCCTAAAATATGCATGTATATATATATATTTTTTAAAAATAAATACAGTATATAAATATCAAGTATAATGTCAGAGCAAAAGGATTACCAAAATATTTTAGATTACCAAAATGTAACATTTAGCTGCAGTTACCTTCTCTGGATTCCTTGACATTAATGTGTGTAAACACAAACACCACAGTCAGTCATGTGAATGTGAATTACATGGACATGGCTTCTTGTGTCTGAGAAAACTTTTTTTTTTGTTAATCATCATCTTTGCAACAAAAAACTCCCTTTGGTTTGGAAATTTAAAAAAACAGCCTTGTTCCTCAGCAGGTCGTAGAAAATGAAGAGGAGGTGTACTGTGACACTTCCTCCTTGAGGTTAAAATTAGGGAGGATTGGTTATAAGCACCATTTCTTTAAACACTGTCACTTCTCTACAGAAAAACAGCCAAATGTCTCGACTCCAACCATCAGTTTCTACTCTGTGGGAAGAGGAGGAGAGAAGGAGAAAGCAGGAAGAGCAAGAGGTCCTCAGGAGGATGGAGGAGAGAAGGATACGTGAGGAGGAGGAGAGAGAGCGCCTGCGGCAAGAAGAGGAGGAGAGGAGACTAAGGAGGGAAATGGAGGAAAAGAGAGAGCACCAGAGGCAGGAGGAAGAGAGGAGAAGAAGGGAAGAGGAGGAACAAGAGCTGCAGCGGCTCCAAGAGGAGAAAAAGAGGAAGGAGGAGGAGGAGAGGAAGAGAAAGGAAGAGGAAGAGAGAAAGAGGATGGAGGAGGAGGTGAGGAAAAGAAAGGAAAAGGAGGAGAGAATGAGAAGGGAGGCACAGGCGGAAGAGCTGAGGTGGCAGAGGCGCAGGGAGGAGGAGAAGAAGCGGCAGGAGGCGCTGGAGCAGCTGCGCAGGGAGAGGGAGAAGGCCTTCCAGCAGCAGGAGCAGTGGTCAGTAAAAACTGACACAGTTCTCCAAGTTGAACCACCAAATAGTACCTACATTTGTTGTCATCCGTCCGTCTGCTCCTCATACTAATGACAACACGTTCGCCTGCTTTGCTGTCTGTTCATAACTGCTTGTAATGTGTGTTTGCATGTGCTTCATCCTCCACCTCTGGGCTGTAACCTAACCCTGCTGTCTCCACACTCACTGCTCCTCAACAAAGGTCTGCTGGCTACCGCGTCCAGCCCACACTGTCCTACACAGACAGGTCAGTACAGGACGTCACCATCTGCTGCCATAGTCTGAACATCATTAGTCAGCCAGTATCGCTGCGACATGTCCCTCTGTTACACAAGTACTCGTCCTAGTGTTACAGTTTGTGACCCTGTTTGGGGGCTGCAACAGTTCAAACAGTTTAATGGAAAAACAGCTCAGTCATATTTCGACAGCTGTCAAATACATCAAGATATCAATGTGGAATTCATACTATAGTTTGAAGGATATTGAATTGTAAAATCCAGTCCAGTCACATTACTATGAAATATCCAGTTGTACCCTGAACTGTACACGACAGCAAATGTCCCTTGACTTTATTTCACTGAACATTAAAAAAGGCAAAGGTTTCAAAATTGAACAAATCCATCGTCCACCGTTCAAATGTCATGGTCCAAACTGTCAGAATAGAATAATACCTTCCACAGTGTTGTCATGGTTAAAAACCATTTATTGATCTTTTATGATTGCACATTCTACGTCTTCTCATTACTTTAATCCATACCTGTGGTTTCATAGTTTTGAATTTGGTCTTTTGTTCTGAACAACTTCCTGTTTGACTGAAGGGCCTGTTTTTGTCTCCTCTGTCCTCAACTGGTAACTAGTTTTATCATGATCCTTACACTGTGTCATAAATGTTCCATTTACATTAGCATTTTACATTTTTGGTTCACCTTCATCTGAGTTATTTAAATGTCTCACTGCAGTAATACCTGGCAGCGCTATTTGTTTTTGTTGGACTTGTACCAAAACCTGACAAAGCTCTGTCTCCAAGGCATGAAATTCTTCCATAGTGCATGTCAATTCATTAGTACTTTGTCACTGTGTGCTAAAAAAAAGCCTTGACTTATTGACTTTCATTTCTTACTAATATATCTCTTAAAAAACAACCAAAACAGGCATGTCTTTAGCTAACAGCTAATTGTGTCCTGTTGCTATTACAGGCTGCATTTGAAGAGAATAATTTAAAGTTAAAATGTGTGCAGAACTGTCCTGAATTAGAAGGTAATCGATATTTTACAACATACACCTAAGCCACTGCATCTCAGGAAACGTTTTGACCATCCCTATATTATATATTTTTGATTGTCTTCATTAATTCTTAATTTTTTTTCTAACTCTGAAAGGGCCAAATCCAAATCCTCACCACAGCTGGACGAAGAAGACAGACCTCAGAGAAGAGGTCAGTGTCTTTGATTAAATGTCATTTTACTACTGTAGTTTACTGTCAAGTATCCAGCAGTACTGTGCAGTATTTTCTCTTCATGTTGTCTTTCATTAACCCCTATATTTTGACATCACCTACACACACATATGCACACATACACACATGTGCTTGCAACTACTGCAGGTGTGCATGTGCAGACTGGTGGCATGGCTCACTGGCTGCTTGAGGAGCAGCTGAAAATAGCTGCTGACAGGGAGGCGCAGAGTCAGAGAGCTGCCTCGGAGCTGGAGCTTGAGAGGCGAAACATCCTCAATGCCATGAGATACAGAGAGCCAGAGAGAGGTGGGCTCAGGCCTGGAAGCCCCGCCTCCTCTGATTGAAATCAAAACACCAATCAGTCAGCTGTGACATAATCTGATCATAAAATTATTTGTTCAATTCACTTGACCAGATTACCAGTATAATTGAGGGGTAATTCCACCAATCTCAATGGTCTGTGTGCATGTTTAAGAGCATGATTTAATTAATCTTCAAGGTAGAGTATGCAAGAATATTACTTTGTTTGTTAAACCAGACCATACAACCACCTGCCACATCCTGCTTATCCTTTCACCAATGTGGGATTCTATAACTATCCTAACCTGATCTTATTACTTCTGTTTCCATTGTTTTTTTCCATTGGTAACTACTGACATGTGAGGCATCCAACCTTATTTTTTTTATCTCACTTCTCACCATGCAGTGAGCAGTGGTGGCTTTGATGAAAAGAAGAGTCTGTCGCAGGCCGAGCTGGAGCGTCAGCAGATCCTGAATGAAATGAAGAAGAAAACATCGCTGCTCACAGACAACAGCTGGATTCGCCAGTCCTCGTGCAGCACCACCTACAGCAAAGAGACCGACATTCCACCCATGCGCAGGTACAGTACACTTTAACGCCAGTGTATTCAGTTCTCTGTTGTGTGGTGGTGGTGGTGGTGGTTGGCTTTAAAAACCCACTAAATTTCTGTGGACTTAAAATGATGACATTTATTTGTCTGGCTATCAGTTGTAGACTCTTTCAATCTTGTGAAAATTGTGTTCAGACACAGAGCAGGGATGTCTGGGCAGTTGTTGAGGTAATTAATCAACATAGACATGTTAAAGAGACATATAAATTATATCTGTAATAATCCACGATTAGCCATTGTTTTAAAAAGTAGCTAAGTGGTAGTTTAGCTATAAGTGTCAACAATGAAAGATAACAAAAATACACCTATAGGCAGCTTTATGTGTGCTCTATGTATACAAGAAAAAACTGACAACAAAACATAAAAATATATCAAATTTGTGAGTTTGAAAACATGTACTAAGAAAAGCTAATGATTATCCCAAACAATGTCAACACTGCTAACAAAAAACACCAGCTTCAGATTAAGATAGCCATGATAATAGCTACAAGGGGCAGAGAATCAGTTAAAAAGCAATTAAAACTAATCAGTAATATTCAGAATTTAGCAAGATAGCCCGAACAAATAATCCAAAGATAGTTTAAATAGTCCATATATGTTCAGTTTCCATTATGAGTCCTGGGACATCACTGTCATAAAGTGTCAATATAATGAGTAGCGTTGTTAGCCAGACCAAGTAAATGCTTTCACTAACCATCTAACATGAGCCTGGCGTGGGTCGCTTTGCAGAGGTGAGTCTCTTGACAACTTGGACAGACACTCCTGGCGTTCGTCGTGGACACCAAGGAGCAACTCATATGCCCCCAGCTACAGCCGGCCCCACTCTGCCCTTTCTGGAAGCGCCTCCTTTTACAGTAGTACTGGTGGTGGACCAGGACTACAGGGGCCCAAATCCTCCACCCTGCCCCCTTTTTATTCCATGGGCTTTCTCCAAGGTGGGGCAGGAACCCACTCCACACCCTGGTCCCAACAGATGTCTCCTCCTTTGTCTCCAGAGCGTTTGTCTGAGTCAGGGCTTCAGCAGAGGAACAGGTAAAGCTAACATCGCTGCTTCAGATCCTAACGCATCTAACATCAGCGGCCTCAGTGCTGTCACTCTTAAACTGGGTCGAAATGCTGCTCTATGGTTTTAAACCATAATACTGGTCTGGGAAAATTGTTGGTAAAGTGTTTGTTTTACATTTGAAGCTGTCAATGTGTATTTTTCTGACGTGTGTATCTATAGCCATGTCATCATTCATACACCAGGATGTTGTTTCTCTGTTGTGTGCATCGTTTGTGTTTTCATTTTGACCCTGGTACATTTATAATCCAGGTCAGTGAGTGGAAAGAAAGTGTGTACATTCTGTGACACTCCACTGGGAAAGGGAGCGGCCATGATCATCGAGTCCCTGGGGCTCTGTTATCATTTGAGCTGTTTTAAGGTGAGAGCTGGGCTCACGTCGACCTTGGACCAGGACGAACTGGACAATTGTCTTCCAAATCCTCCTAATTTTATCACTTCACACTTTCCTCCTTCTGAATTTCTAGTTCCTGACACTTCTACAGCCATAAAAAGTAGTTTTTTTTTCAACCAGAACTAATGAACCCTATTACTTCAGCCTGGTTCCTCTGATTGTTGATCCGTCTTGTCCTGCATCTGAATCATTGTTGTTTGACCTTTTCTTCTACTACTCTCTTACCTTTTGCGTGTTGTGTTGACAATCACTTAAGTCCTCCTCTCTGTTACTCCTACTATAGATGTTCTGTCCAGTTTTGTCCAGTCATGTTGACTTAAACTTCTCCTTTTTTCCAAATGTCCTCAGTGTATTGACTGTAAATCTGACCTCGGAGGATCAGAAGCTGGAGCTGAAGTCAGGATACGGAACAAACAGCTCTACTGTAACTCCTGCTACATGCGATTTAAAAGTAAGAGCTTGAAAAAAACTTTTTAGGGTATTTACTAGATTTAAAGATATTGTGTTTAACTTTATCCATAGACTGACCAACAGTGATGATCAAACACACAGGGGACTTGTATTTAAAACCCAGTCTAAGTCATGGGCATAAACATTTATTGAACAGTCTAGTGCTGACAATGTGTTACCAAGAAAGAATGAATTAAATCAGCCTGCAAAACCAAATTGTCAAATAAATTGTAAAAATTTAATTCAAAATATTAGCATCAAGCATAGACTCAGAAATAACACAGTTCTGTGTGTCAATACAAGACTACATTAGTTTAATCAAGTTTTGATTATGCTGTTTGCCTGACTTTGGACACAACTGTTCGCAGTATAACATTCACTGTTATTATTTTTCTAGCTGGCCAGCCAACAGAGATGTGATGGACTACAGCAGATCAATGAAGAGACAACTTGTGACAACAACCCATGAACATTTGTCAAATCCATCAAAAACAGCTGGTTAACCTGGTTTGGACATAAACGTCAGTTTGACTCTAAAAAAAAAGAAACTCTGTTTGACTCATTGTCAGGAATCATGTTAATGTTTTTACAGTGTGTGTGATTGAGAGGATGAACTCACCAAGACGTTATCTGTTTGTTTATATCATTAAGTATTACAGCTGTAAAAATTAAAAAACCAATGTAAGGGATCTGTTTGCACCAGAGTATTGTTTAAAAATATTATAGCCATGAAATTAGCCAAATAACAAACTAACTCATATAATAATCAAATAATCCATGCAGAGCTTTTTCTTCTCTTTGTCTTTAACTGAGAAAGATTACTATATCTTAAACTTAAGCTAAGGAAGTGTGGGTCCCCAAAATGATCCACAGGTCGGCTGTCGAATCACTGAAGGAATGGGAGTTAACAGAAAACAGAAGCTTCTTGTCACCAAGCAATCATTAAGCAGTTTCCTGAAGAGGGTCCCACACTGTCAGTTTTGTAAATTACAATCCTATTTAGAGTAAAATGCAAGATAAAGCAGATGCCTGGCCATGGCTCAGTCCCCACTGTGCCAAGTCCAAGTCCATGTGAGTGTAATGTATTCGTTTTAGGTACAATTCTGATAAGAGTCGAGTCCTCACTGATTGGGGGCTGGGGCTAAAACAAAAAAGGGGCATTTCAAAAATCACATCATAGAGCTATGTCTATACACTTTTATGTTTGTGTCCAAGTCATTTAGGTTGGTGTTTTATTTATTTACAAGCTAAGTTATCTGGTTTGATTCAAGGTTTGTGTCGCAGGAGTCCACTGTTAGTCACTAAAGATTTTTAAAAGAGGTCTGAGTTGAGTCACAAAGGTTTTCATCTGTGCATATGTACAGAGAAAACTCTGCCAGGAAGTATACTTATCCAATTGTTCTAGTCCTTTACAAATAAGCTTTTACTTCTTTTTCCTCTAAATGGGATTGAAAAAAATGACATTGTAGTTACTTTAAGAAAGCCTGATTTGAAAAAAAAAACCTTCACAATGAACTTCTGATGAGAACATGAGCAGCATTTTAAACCAAATCAGATGAATTTATATCTTCATGTTAACTTTCATGCCTACTTATCGTAATCTATTCTTAGGGTTCTACTGGTCACTGTGTCCATTCCCTATATAGAGTTTAAGATTCTTACCTGTCTGTCAACTGTCATGTGAATGTGCCTTTGCATTTTATAGAGAATTAAGGTAAATATAATACAATTCTTTCCTGACACTGTATATATGGGTATAAGGACCCATGGGCTCAGATATCCCCTGCCTGCTGTTATCATGGACAGACAGGAGAGTAAAAAAAAACACAGAAGCAAGTTTCCTTTTGAAGAATCTACTGTTATCCTATTCAATGGCATTGAAGCAAACGATAAATTTGTAAATAAAATAAAATAAAAGGAAAAGATAAATCCTCCGGTGGTTTTGCTTTGTTCCAAGTTTTTTGTGCACACTTCTTTTTGCAGTAATATTTCTCTGCCTGCGTTATCAGAAATCATTCGACTCATTTCTCCTCGTCTGTCCCTCTCATTCTCTGCTGCTCTGCAGCGCAGCGCTCATAATGAAAGGAATTTCAATGAGGTTTTTGTGCCGGGGTTCAGAGGACCTGCTTGCTTTGTGTTCTCCAAAGCCAATTTGTCATGCATATTTCATCCAGCGACCATGCATTACATTTGATTCGGCACTGATAGTCTATCTCCATCCATTCATTCTGTCATCTGGGCTGTTTTTTATGAAATGTTATCTGCCTCCACACACGCACTGCATTTTCAAACGAGTACAGAAACCCTGTGGCTCCCAGAGTGCTGGAGCCCAAAGGTAAGAAATTGGCCTCATTACCTATAAATGAAAGTAAACTCAGCTGAGCCGACGTATGGAAATGAGCTGAACTAAGGGAAAATTGGCTCTTTAATGTGATGCACACACGACCCTCAGAGGCAGACTTCTGGGAGTCTTTTATTTCACGTGTTTTTGTGGATAGGTAGTCGACCAACGCAGAGCAGAGTTAAGTGGCCCGAAAATATGAAACCACTAATATTAAACAAAATAACTGGAGGTCAACCACATTATGCCCACAAAACTTTCCATATATTGTAAATAAAAAAACAACAAAAGTAAGACAAGCCAATTTATGATATAAAAAGAAAAACAAATACATAACTAAATAAAAGTTAGCCAAGGATATCTAACCTAAAATTGTGGACATGTAGCCGAAATATATACCACGTTATTAAAGTAGAGAGCTACTAGCTATGGTATAACTACATGCCTCCAAAAGATGTTGAAAATAATATTAAGCCTTAATTAATTGTTAGCTAATAGTTTACTAAATGTTTCAATAAATATCGCTCAAGTTAGCCAAATCATATATATATAAAATAACATAGATAATAAGTAAAGTTTTAAGACTCAAAAAAATAAATCCATTAATAAAATTCGAGTTTTTAATTGTGACAGAGTGGAAGTGACCAGAGGGGGGCACTGTCATATAAGATGTGTATCAAGAAATGCTTTCGTATAACGTCACCAATCACGGACAATTTTGCAACGTGATGCTCCTAAAGTGCACCGACTCAAAGTAAGAACAGAACACTACAGATTAAGACTGTCATGACAATGTTTCGCCAACTACTGTTTTAATTGGGCCTAATTTGGCTCAATGCACGTGTGAAAGTGTTCTTAAACAACACTGCACGAGTGTTTTTATTTATTTCAGTCTAGTGAGCTCTTCATCTGGATAAACGTAAACATTTGTCCACCGTTTCAGTGACATTAGCAACCGTTGTGTACTTGTGGTTTTGCGACATGAATGTCTTTGTTACTTCTGTGGCAATTGTGTTTGTCTCATTGTGTTTGTGGACACGTTTGGAGGTAAGCTTAATGCAGCCATGCAGCTAACACGGTCCAGACCAGCCCTGAAAACACAGGTATTAGGGATGGAAATTTAAATACCTCTTTTTGTTCAAAGAACTAAATTACCACAATGCACTTAAAAGTCTGTATTTGTTATGCTGTATATTATTAAAAATTATGTATTCTTAAATTAATAAATAAAATGAAATCATGTATGTTCAATTACAAATATAATTAATTATTATTATTTGTATTTGGCTAGGTTTTAGATTTCATTTTCTAACATTTAGTCTAGTTCAGAATGTCAAGGTCACTGTTTTTTCCACGTCAGGCTGTAGCTACAGTGTGTGTAACTGAGTGTCTGGAAGCTACATTCTTGGTTTCTTTTTAGTGACTTAGTTTCACACATTTCACACTAGATAAGTTGGCTTTTTGGTAATGTTTTTGCCCTTCATAGATGTTTTTTTGGCTTTATCGAATGTGTCATAAAATACCCAAGAAATCCTTTCCAGAAATCTGTCTAAACCAGATCAGTTAGACACCAGTTAAATGAAAATAAATTGTTATGCATTAATTTATTTTTATTTTTTTTAAATGCTGTGCATTTTTTCATAAAACTTAATTTTAGTCTTAAGTATCACAGGAGGAGGTTTTCTCTTCTGGTATTTTCTGCAGTAATAAACCATCATCCCACTGCTTTGGTAAATTCAGACCTAACTGCTGTGTTCTTGGAGGGAATTCAGGTTGTAGTACGTCTCACCTCCGACCATTTGCCACTCAGTGGGATCCTTTTTTACACTTTAAAGAATCCCTCAGGCAGAGACTCACCTGCAGCTGGAGCTGCAGCTATAATTAGTTGTGTAATTGCAGATAGCATCTGAGCAGACCTGTTGCCATGGCTGACAGGAGCTGTGTATTCATCTGCAGGCTTCTGTCATGACTTCAATTAATGAGGAGGATTAAAGAAAATTAACCTCAGGCAAGAAGCAGAGTAAATCTGTGAAAATAACCACAGCGTCAAGAGGAAACTGGGAAGATGTTCTTCAGCTTTATGTCAGATCAAGAATCGTTCATCTTATTAAAAAAAGAAGAGGAAAACAACTTTAAAAATCAATGAGGTCACGTTTTTAGACTCCTTCTAGAAATGTGT